ATAGATAAATATGATTTAGCATAATAAAACAAACGATTAAGTGCTAAATTATCTGCAATTAACATAATTTTATCGAGTGTAATAACTGTATAGTCAAGACAAGCAGTAAAAAATGACATTTACATATTTATCTAAATGATGATACTGCAAGCTCGCTCACGAAGGAGTACTTTTGAAAGCTGTCATAGACATATAAGATAGAAAATTATTGTCCAACTAATGCAAACGGAGAAACAAAACATATTCGTCTATATGGCTAATGAGTAATGTTTTTGGAAACATTATACAAAAAAAGAAGATTTTATGATAGCATTTCTGAGGCCGATTGGGCCTTCAAATGTCAAAACATTAATTGGGCTGTTTATATATATATACTTGTATATCATATATACCATATAACTATATAACTTATAATTACATTAACTGGTCAATTAAGCAACCATCAAAACTCCTTCAAGTACGTGACATTTGTTTCATTAAGAGCAAGTTAATTGTAATTCATTTCCCAGAGAGAAACATGAAATAAGATAAAAAGGCAATTCATTACTACGTTCGCGAAATTCCTAAGATTGTTTTCACAAACAATTTAGATACTCACTGTAATATAAGTTAACACGGTTAATGGAGCTCCACTGAGATTTAAATATGTAACAATTTAAGGTTTGAAAATTCAAAAATCTTAGCCCGATTTGAGTTCAAAGCGTTTAGTTGCTTTTCATTTTAAGTTATTTTGATGACAATGAAATAATTACTCTACAAAATTACGAAGTGAGCGGATAGTTTAAATATTTTAACACAGGTTATTGAAATAGACCTTCACAAAACAATAAAAATTTAAAGCAGAAGAATATTTTCAGACCTGTCATGCCTTAAAAGAAACTTCAAATGAGTCCCTTTTAGTCGTGTATAAAATATTCTTATTCATTTATTAAGAATTTCGATTATGATCCACCGATTTTGTCAAGTTCACATGGCAACTCTCCAGTTTTAACGCTGGATTAAGACCAAAGCTGTTCCTCTGTAGAGCGACCCACATAAACTAGGTGTCCTGCTGGAATTGGAAACCACACTGATACATTGTTTTTCAAACTTTTTAGAAAGAACATATTGCCGACAGTAATTTCTGCGACCCTTATTGTTTTTCTTGTTTATTGTCTGATAAGCTGATTATAGTTTCTAACATAAGGAAGACCTAAAGTTTTAAACCGTAAAGTCAGATTATTTCCGGTAAAATTTACAATCCCTGATGATGTCGTTCTAACAATATTAAATGTGACGTACAGATACTGTAAATTTGTTTCTTTTAGTTGTCCTAAATAAGTTTTTTTTTTAAACTTTCAGTTTATGATGATGTGTTCATGTTGGGTAGTTACAAGAATATTTCATCATTTACCTTATAATACTAGTTGTTCTATTTGAAATGTGTCCGATAAATGCGTATAAAATAGTAAGTAAATAAAACGAAATAAGACCATAATGAATATGATTTGTACAGTAGGGTGAACGTGTCAGTTCAGTTTACACGCAAAACGCACGTTACACGCTATACGAACGCACGTTACACGCTATACGAACGCACGTTATACGCACGGAAAACGAAACGAAATACGCAGACGCACGCATAACGATATACGCTAAACGAAATACGCTAAACGATATACGCACGCTAAAACGCACGCAAAATGAAAACGTTTCTAAACCTTTATTAAAACATCGTAATCATTTTAAGTTTTTAACAACTTTAGCTACATGTAGAACGTTTAAGCGATAAATTTTGATTATCATATAGATCTATATGGTAGCTAGAAATGTATTTTAAACGAGTTTATGTAAGAACTGAAATGCACTCAACTTAGCACCGAAATTAATTTTTGTCACAGCCTCAACAAATGATTTTAGATATATTTATAAGCTATCATGCGCTAATATCGAAAGTAAAAAAGTTAGGGTAGCCTGTTTCTTTTTATGCGCAATCGGATAAAGAACTATCCCTTGCATTCACTACGTAATCTCTACGTAATAGTCCAAAATGGCCGACATTGAAAAATTCAGCGCAAATTTTCATAAATATACAGTGCTAACAATTAAATTCAGATGGATTTATGAGGCAAATCTATATATTAAGTGAGGCTGCATCATAAACAATCGAACTATATAATCTTGAGTGTAAAATAAAGGAATTAACTATTTTGACAGAAGTCACGAAAACAGATTAAAAACACAGGATTCTACCACGGATAACATTGAGGGAAATGGATAACATTAAAGGAAAAGCTTCCAGAATCAAGAATGATTAAATTGCTGGCACAATACGTAGATTTAAGTTGATGTCCTGTATGTTCCATTAGGACATCGCATTATTTACTGTCTTGTCGCCAGTAAAAGCTTCTCAAAACGAAAGTGAAAGTAGAAATAATCAGCGAAATCACTAAAAAAGGTAAAATTTCTAGGGCATTACAATATATTAGTATAGATCTATATAAATATTAAGAACGCAATTTTATTTTAGGTCTGAAACTGTAATCAAGAGGAAAAAAATGAGGAAAATTATTGGATTTACAAAGACAGCACAACAGAAAATATTTTTCATATCACTTAAAATTGAAATTTATTGACATGCGCTTAATATGTATTAATATGCTTTATCACACACCAGTGCCGATTTTGCCACTCAGTAAATATGGTATTGCACATCCGTGCATATAATTTGACATGACGTCATTAGCGTTATAAAAACATTGTGTAAAGACGCGCTAAATGTTAGCGTTATACTATAGGCGTGTAAATGAAAAACTACTCTTATTTCACTTTAAACGGTCTTTATTTTGTGTATGTGATACAGTAGGGTGAACGTTTCAGTTTACACGCAAAACGCACGTTCCGGAAAAAACGCATGCACGTTACATGCTATACGAACACACGTTACACGCACCCTTTATGAAACGAAATACGCAGACGCACGCAAAACGAAATACGCTAAACGATATACGCACGCTAAAACGCACGCAAAATAGAAAACGTTTCTAAACGTTAATAAAATATCCTTATCATATAAATTTTTAACAACTTTAGCTAGATCGTTTAGTGATTTGATTAAATGATAGCTAGCCATTCATGTATTTTAAACGGGTTTATGTTAACTAACTTATCTTATGTCCCAGGTTAGAGCTGTAATGATATCAATCCGCGAATGCACTCAACCTGGCACAATATTATTTTTTGTCGGGCAGCCTAAACAAATGATTATTGAAATTATAAGCCATCAAGCGCTAATACATGCATTAAAAATTATTTAACAGGGTCGTCTTTATGCACAATTCTGAAAAAATACTTTGCTTTATACCAGGAATCTCTTAGATAGATAATAATTACTTCGACACCGCTTCTGGCGTAAACAAAATAAAACGAATGGTAGTAACTTTAGCAAATCAGCGATCAAATTATCAAATCATTTACATACAGGCGAACGAAATTAATACATGACCTTTTTAAACAAAGGAAAACATACATTGCAGACCGGCAGCCCAACATATTTTCCAGACAAGGGCTAAATCTATATGTTTCAGGACTTTACACCTCCTGGACGTTTCGGCCCTGAAAGTTTCAACCTCAATTTTTAACCACCTTTTTTTCAATTTGATAAATATATATAATAAATACCATGCATTATGGGTTATAATATATTCTAACATGACCCGCATTTACCCTATTGACGTAGAAGAACGGAAAGTGTGTGTTATTATGCAACAGATGCACAGTTTGACATTCTATATTTAGACATGTGACGTAATCATTATACACGTGACGTAACCACAAAAAATCTGACACGCCGAAAATAAGTACGGAAACAAATCTGAGGCGCAAATTTGCTTAACTATCAAGTACGGCAACATTTATTTGTTGATGTCGTGTTAGAATCGAAATAATATATCCAAATCAGTGATTTTATCGCTTGATAACATCACTGTTTGTCGTTCGAATGTGCATCATTATATCACTCGGGCTACGCCCTCGTGATATAATTCCTCGCATCCGAACTCCAAACAGTGATGTTATTGAGCGATAAAATCACTGTTTGGGATATATTATTTCTTAAATATATATAATATAAAACATACTTGCAAACATGATTGATATAAAAAAGATTTTCGGTGATAATACGTATAATGAAATTTCCCTGGGAAAATAAATATTAATTTGATTTTTTATATGAGTTCTGAAAAAATTATCAGCTGTAAAACTACATGCATATATTTATTCTTTTTTTTTTTGTTATCAAAAAATTAAATTCCATAAAAAGATATTGATAAAATATGTTTTAATATAACAGATAAGAACGATTATAGAAGTGTGAAAAGCCTAATGAAATTTAATGAATTAAAGTGTTATATTAAGAATAAACTTGTATTTTGAGCCCGAAACTGTAAGCGAGAAAAAAATGAGGAAAATGGAGAAACTTGTCAACCTCATGCACCTCGATCCATAAGTGCCAGGAGGGGGGGAGTGTTGGACTCCAATAATTTGTGAATCATGTGTAAACTGTAAAGTATATGGATTTACCAAAAGAGCAGCGCATCAGAAAATATGTTTCATAGTATTGAAATTGAAATTTATTGACATTTTATGCACTATATGTTATAATATGCTATATTATTATTAAGGAACATTAAATGCCTAATACCTTCCTTTTTTGTTACTGTCACAAGTTAAAAAAGAAAGGTGCTGCCTCACCAGGACTTTAACCCGGGACCCTTGTAATACCGTTCTGCCACTCAACTGACTGAACTATATTGTATTAGGCTGCTTACGCATCATCTCCCTATATAGTGAGCATTTTAGTCAGTTTTAATATAAGTTGTAACAAGCAAGTATTGGTTACTCACCCTTAAAATAGCCAGTCTTTAGAAGTATATAGATTATTCGACTAAAATTGACAGCGAAAAAAATTACTCAATGTTCCTAGACGACTTGTAAGTTTAACTCATGTTGTTTTGTTACAGGATAAGTACGCATGGACTGAAAGCGAGAAAACTGCATCATGTTCTAAATGCTTACGTTCAAACAGTGTTTTCTCCCCTCCACAAAAATGATTACAACAGAAGAAACAGTTTTTGTATCGGTACATACGATTCAGCTTTGTACATGTATTCTGCGTTCATTTGTTCAGCATGGTTTTAAAACTGTGACTACCATCTACATTTGCAATTTTTTCATATAGTTTTAATGTCGCTAATATAAGCACTATTGAGGATACTCGTGTCATTATGTTAAACGCTTGACATTAAAGACATTGGAAATATAAAGTATTATTATTTTGTGCTGACTCATAACATTACACACGAGCATTAATTATATACGTATATATAATGATTATTAAACCGGTCACACATTTGTTTCAGTGAATGATTTCTCGTTTTAATTCATATTTTTTAAAAAAATAACTCATTTAACTGTTTGCTTCAATAATAAATACAATCAAATCATTTAACATGCCCGTTTGTTTTCGTTTGATAGAATAATAATCTAAATATTGGACGAAGATTTCATCTTAAAATATATCTTTCCGAATCCGTCAAACACAAGACTGATGTTGTCCCTACACGAAGAGAAGGTTTTAAAAATGTAAAGTATCAAAACGTAGGATTGTTGCCATATTTCAGTAAACAGTAGTTCCGAGTCAGATAACGTTATAAGAGGCTTTTTGTAAGAAATCCCTTATTGCCGACAGTTTCGAATTGCTTGTTCTGTCAATTTAAGATGAATGTAAGAGTGAACACAATGTAATTATTCTATAATTGACAAACACGAGAGAAACTAGTGTATGAATGAGTTACATTTAATGATGTATGTCTCACACACAAGTTATCTGTTTCATTCTATAATTGTAATCAACGTTGATGTAGATAATATAACTTAAGTCAAAGATTTCAATATGTAAATATATTTAGATTTCAACATGCTTCTGGAGAATGATTTATTTGTGTGGCAGAAATGCAATTAGTAATCTTCTACATCTGCTTGTTCAGTGGAAGACAAATATGCGAGGGAACATAATGTAATTATTCTATAATTGACATACATGAGAAAAGCTAGTATATAAATGAGTTACACTTAATGTTGTATGCCTCGACAAAGTGATTTGTTTCATTCGAAACAATCTCATTTTCTCTGATTAAAAACCATTTATAGTGTAAGTTTTCCATTATTACTTAACAAACACGTTGCCGTGGTAATATAAAATATTAATGGAAACCTTATTATTGCTGTTTGCGAACGTTGATGTAGATTATACAAACCAAGTTATTGCTTTATTATTATATATAATACATTTAGAAATTCAACATGGTACTGTTTAACTGATTATTTGTATGGTAGATATACAATAAAATCATCTGACATGGCAGTAACTTATATTTACCGTAGTTTTCAGCAGGTATGTTATATATTTTTATATCAATATGCATATGTCTTACACAATACCAATCGAGTAAAGGTATACTTAATTACCTCGTTACTTACTATAGAGATTGGTTTAGTGTGTCTGTATATGATGGATAATGAAAACGTGCAACACCCTAACGCCCCCTAGCACAAACATGAGCGACTTAAAAGTATTGGAATCAATGAAGCCGAAGGACCAGAAAAATAAAACTATAACAACACTGAAGACTTCTGTTTGGTTTTCATTTGTTTTAACGTTTTTTATTTATTAGAACATGTTTTCTTCAATTCTGCTATAGGTTGCAATTTGCCTGATCATCTTATTTAATTTGCGTTAAGATGTGAAAAATGGAAAAGAAAAAATGAAAAGATGTTAAAATCTCAGAAAAACTCAATTAAAATATCTCATCTAATTATTCGTAGGAAGAAAATTATTTTGTGATGTTGCCCTAATAGCATCATGAAACTACTCTTAATTAATATCTTGTACTTTTTATATTAAAATTTACTCAAAAAGACTTTATGGCAAGTCTTAAAATGTAAAAAGGATATTGTTTCCATTCAACTATTATTTTATGTTGATATTTGTGTTTTGTTGAATTTATATATGCACTTCAACTATCCGAGGAAGTGAAAGAGTATATATGGTGTGACGTGTCTGTTGTTAAAAAACGTACGAATCCTACCACTACGACGCCTTTGTCTTCGATGCCTAATAAAACTAACAGCGGTCATGTTCTTGTCATCACTTATATACCTACGTAATCTGAAGACTGCAGGTAAAATAGAGATTTCATTTTGTTGTTTATATGAACAAGGTTTTTGTTATAGTCAGGTGAACTTTATCATTGATCTACTTACCTTAAAACATAATAATTCTTTTTCTAGTTATGATGAATATTTCCTCTTACATCATGTGACTATAGGACAAAGAGTAATAATCATAATGACAATATGTGTTTACAATGGCACAGAGCAGTTGTTTAACGTAAACGTTAGACATATATACTCGTATATAATTGGTTAATCAAATAATCCAATGATTTACTATAAGAACACTCATTTTGGAATGTGTCACATTTTAAAACCTTATTTCAAATGTGTGTGTTGCTAATAATATAAGATGTTATTATTCATTTTAGAGTTCAACTTTTTAAAATTGGATGTATTGAAGTCCATTATTTACCAAACTGCAATCATTGATGTATGTAACATTTAGAAGAAGACTATTTGATCAATATATTAATTCGCTTGAAATACCAGTTTTCTACCAGGCATTACAATAATTGGCAATTATAACAACGTTTGAAACGAGAACACAACATAAGAGAAAATGATTAGTTCAATAGAGAACAAAAAGAATCCGTAAAGAACGGCCAAATCGGACAAATTTAATATGTTGCAGGCTCGGTTTGATTAAGAATGTTCTATGACGGTACCGGTACTGAAAAGTGAAAGCTACCATTCACAACTTCTATTGCTCTCACTGGCGCAGGCTTAGGTTGGGTTTGATTTTAATATTTAAAAGTTTATGTTTGACCAGGAAAATAAAAAACAAGTTAGTCTTATTTTTAGAATACCGTTTGTAAAAAAGTAGCGTATTATGTGTTTCAAATGAACGGATCACACCCTTTATTGTAATTGTTTGTTCCTATTATTATTATTATTATTATTATTATTATTATATGCAGAGTTGTTAAAGAAAGGTTTAATGACATGTGAAATGTGAGAATAGAGTCACTTTTCTTTAATACCATTAATGTACGTCAATATTTTAAAGTACTGATAAAAATGTCTTAGTAAATCAGTCAAAGTGTCTAGATAAAATGACGGAAATGCGTGTTTAGTTTAACACTTCCTTTATCTTTTATGACAACATATCAATCATAATTAAGCCCCATTATATAAATATGCCTTTCTTTAACGGAACAGTTCAATATATCCTACAGTATATCATATCACATTATGGGATATATGATACATTGCGTCAACTCGCATCGCATTTTGTGTGAAAGCTTAAAAACCTATAAATTGTTTTTTTGTAGCTTAAAACTTAACTGGTTTCACTGATTTTTTAAATTCCTTTTCTTGCAGCATCAAGCTTTTCCCATTGGAGTGTATATCTAGTAGTAAAGGTGTCTTATGCTCAACCCATGGATCGTGGGTTTAAGCCACACAATAGGGACAACAATACTTTCTAATATGAAACAATTACAAACGAATCAAAAGGGATTAGTTTTATATTTCACAATCGAGCTTTAATACATTTGTTTACACTAATTTACTTTATTATAATCTACCTGTTTTTGAACGCTTCCAAGTCATAGATAAATTTGATTTGGCATAAGAAAACAAACGATTAAGTTTGCTAAATTATCTGCAATTAACATAATTATATCGAATGTAATAACAGTATAGTCAAGACAAGTAGTAAATTATGTCATTTACATTTTTATCTAAATGATGATACTGCAAGCTTGCTCCCGATGGAGCACTTTTGAAAGCTGTCATAGACAGATAAGATAGAAAATTATTGTCCAAATATTGCAAACGAACGGAGAAACAAAACATATTCGTATATATGGCTAATGAGTAATGTTTTGGAAACATTATATATATAAAAAAAAATTGAGAAATAAAAATGATAGCATTACTGAGGCCTAATGGGCCGTCAAAGGTCAAAACATTAATTGGGTTTGTTTATATATAAATTATATATATTATTTATATACCATATAACTATATAACTTATGGTTAGATTTACTGGTCAATTAAGCGCAACCACCAAAACTCCTTCAAGTACGTGACATTTGTTTCATTAAGAGCAAATTAATTGTAATTCATTTCCCCGAGAGAAACATGAAATAAGATCAAAAAGGCAATTCATTTCTACGTTCGCGAAATTCCAAAGATTGTATTCACAAACAATTTAGATACTCACTGTAATATAAGTTAACACTGTTAATGGAGCTCCACTGAGACAATTTAAGGTTTGAAAATTCAAAAATCTTAGCCCGATTTGAGTTCAAAACGTTAAGTTGCTTTTCATTTTAAGTCATTTTGATGACAATGGAATAATTACTCTGCAAAATAAGGAAGTGAGTGGATAATTTAAATATTTTAACACAGGTTATTGAATAGACTTTCACAAAAACAATAAAAATTAAATTCAGACCCGTCATGCCTTAAAAAAACTTCAAATGAGTTCTTTTTAGCCGTGTATAAAATATTCTTGTTCATTTATTTGGAATTGCGATTATAATCAACCGATTTTGTCAAGTTCACATGGCACTTTCCAGTTTTAGCTGTGGATAAAGACTGCAGCTGTTTATTAATGCACCAAAACATTAATGCACCATAACATACATGAGCGGAATCCTCTGTAGAGAGACCCACATAAACTTAGTGTCCTGATGGAATTAGAAACCACACTGATACATTGTTTTTCAAACTATTCAGAGAGAGCATAGTCATTTCCGACAGTTTTTCAGCCACCCTTATTGTTTTCTCTTGTTTATTTCTGATAAGCTGATTAAAGTTTCTGACATAAGGAAGACCTAAAGTTTTAAACCGTAAAGTCAGATTATTTCCGGTAACATTTACAATCCCTGTTGATGCCGGTCTAACAATATCTAATGTGACGTAGAAATACTGTAAATTTGTTTCTTTTAGTTGTCCTAACTAAATGTTTTTTTTAAGTCTCAGTTGATGATGTTGTGTTCATGTTCGGTCGTAACAAGAACATTTCATCATTTACCTTATAATACTATTTGTTCTATTTGAAATGTCCCTAATAAATGCGTAAAAAATAGTAAGTAAATAATACGAAACTAGAACTATCGCTGAACGAGATTCATACCCCCACCAATGTCCTTGACAGAAGACGACTTGGAAAGATGGTTAAGGTATTAGGACCCTAATGGGCACTATAAGGAACTGAAAAATTGACATCATAGGTCAGATGTATACCTTAAAGTACACCTGTATGCATAATTTAAACAAAGTTTACCGTACGGAAATCAAGTTATGGCCACTTTTCTGAACTCAAGCTAGGATGT